TGATATAAGACAAAATAATACTTTATACAATATTTAATACTGCATATTTACTACTAATTTTATAGCAGTGCTACTAATACGTAATACGAATTTAAAAATAGCATCCATTAGTTTCAAAATTTAATACAAAAATAAAAAACGATGTGTTTATATTAGTATTTACAGTACAATAAACTAAAGCACAACATCATAGTATATTAACTACATTTTTAGATACAAATACTTGCTAAATCTTAGCTAAATCTATATACCCTACATAAAATACGATACTTCTCTAACTATTTGCAGGATCCTATTAAAGCTAATTTACAATAATAAAACACTCACACACATAATTACATTGACTCACCGATTCCCGAATTAATTTGGGCCTCTTTGATTCTCCACAAATATAAAGATGAAAATAGGTTAGAGCAATCAAAATCGTTCGATTTTTTTCTAACTGACGCTGGTTCGGATAAAGCACATTTTTCTTTCACAGCCATAGTTTTTTATATACATCAAAATTTTATTTATCATAATAGAATTGACAATAATAATTGTTAAGTCAAAAACATGATATATATTTTTATAATATATTCATGTGGATATCTTCTTTTAATATGTAAGATATAGAAAGTGTTAATCACACAATTTATTAAGGACGGTTCAACGTTATTACATCACATTTTCACAATGAGTTGTATTTATTAATTTTAATAACAGTTGTAGGTCAATGTTTTTTTTTTTCAATGAATATTACTGTATGCAATTTAAATATCCGAATAAAAACATAAAATTAAATTTTTCTTTTTCTGTGGATAAAATTTACACCTGTCCAATAACCATTAAGTCAATTTTATGAGTAATAATACAAAAAAATCTGTCTGTAAATGCATTAAAATTAAAATAATAATATCTAAGACTCAATTTCGGTTTGAGAATTGTATTTAAGCTAACACCTATATAATGCCCACTATTCTAATTTTGATCTATTATTACTATCAAACAAATATTTTAAAAATCGTATTAGTAATAATGTTTATATTGATATGATAATTTTTATTACCACTATAAATAATATATAAAATTTATTCCGAAGAACTTAGAAAATAGGCAAAATGTTCATATTAATTTTCTCTTATACTACAACCGATACTACACAATTTGTCATAATCAGTTGCAACCGGTAATTTTAATAATTTCTAAGTAAAGTTAAGAAACTTTGATAATTATATTTCTAAATTTTGTGCCGTTAAATCCACCAATCCAGAAAAAAATCAATTTAAAAAATACTTTTATAACAAATAACCGATTACATAATGCACTTTAGTTTAATATAAAAACGATTTGTTTGTATAATACATTTGTAGGATGATTAGTGAAATATGTCAGCATTCAACTTGTCCAATGATATATTTAACCCAACAAATGTCATTTAACTATATCTTATTTTAAAACAACAACATTTAATTTATGTGGTTACAAATTGTTGATAGCGGTGTTAACAATGACCAACACTTGTGAGTATTCTTCTTGAAAATACTAACGACACTCACTGTTTAAAATATTAACAGTTCTTTATATCAAAGTATAAAAATATAAAATTGTTATGTCACAAATATGAGACGTCTTTAGCACTAAACAGCTCACTAACCAGTGAATAAAATTGCAGCACTAGTGTGAAGGTATAAGGTATAATAGGTAAATTTATTGATCAGAATAGTACACAGTTGCACCTGTTTATTTCAGGCTAACACATCTATGTATACCGAAGAAAATCGATTTTTCTCTATTTCAATACACCCGCCGCACCCAAAGAGATATTTAATAATAGTATTTTTAATTTAATACTAATTATATATTATATTATATAGTTTGTGCATCTACTACAATAAATATAAAATAATTAATTATTTTTACAGATAAAATAAGAAGTTGCCTGAAAAACTTGTAAAACGATATTTGGTAAAACTAGTGGGGTGTATGGCATCGTGCCTTAAGGCAAATTGCTGGAACTTCCCGTACCGTAACAAAATGTTCGAGGAATACTGAATGTTTTCAAATAGATTATTATAAATATTGTAACGTTATTGTAATTATTTTCGATATACAAAAAAAAAAAAAATTATACAATTTTTTTTTCCAAAATCAATTATTTTCTTAAGACAAGCAGAAAGTTCTTTGAATCATTTAAATCGGACGCTTAGTTCTCTCAAAAACTGCCATTTTTTTTTCATATTTAGCTCCGTATCTTCGAAATGGCTGGGCCTGCCTTTGCCAAAAACTAATAAAAACTTTTCCCAATCATTACTAATTGAATGTTCTTTAGATCATTCAAATCGGATACTCCGTTCTCTCAAAAAGTCGATTTTTATTTTCTGCACTCGTTGCTCCGTATCTCCGAAACGGCTGGACCTGCCTTCGCCAAAAACTAATCAGCTCTTTTCCCTATCAACAGGAATCGAATGTTTTTTGAACCATTCAAATCGGTTGATCCGTGCGCCCAAAAACGTGACTGGAAATTTGTATCCATACATACATACACACACACACACACCCATTTTTTCTGAAGTATGCCAAAACGTTCAGAAACCTTCAAAACGTCGAGAAATATAAAAATTTTCAATTCTGATTTTCGGCCCATTACAATAATTTACCCTACGGGGAGTTAATAAGTAAATGAGAACAAAAATGAATGAGAATGAAAATGAATGAAGATAGTGATTTGACTTATATATTGACAAAAGATTACATATTATAAACAGACATAAACTATAATACGATTACAGATTTTGAATAATTATTAACTAGTAAATGATCTTTTTATATATAAAAATGGAGCACGACTAAATGTTAGGTATGGTAAAACGTTAAACGGGCTGTACGGATGGCCAGTCTTAATCTTGAAAAATTCGTGCTAATCAGTAGGTTGTGGGAAACATGAAATATTATTTCAAAACAGGTAGACGCTTTACATTTTTGATTTGAAATTTTTTGTAGAAGCGTATTTTACATCAAACACGTCATACGTCAAATGTCAAATGTTTTTGACAGATGATGTTCAATTACATTTAATAGGATTTAGGTGAATATTATTAAATTATGATTAAATGGTAGTAAATAGTTTTGTTTGTGGTTGTATTTATACACAAAAACGTTATTAAACGCGCCGCAAGTGTTACTTGAAACTCAAAATATCAACTTTTTTGAAATGTTAATATCAAAATGCACTTTTTGGCGTTAAAGCACTTTTTTTTGTAAAATTTATTTTCCATAATAAAAGTATTTTCTTCCGTTGAGGCAAAATATGGCCTCAAAAAATAGATAGCCTTAACATAATTTAATAGAACGGAAAAAAGAAAAAGTTGTAAGTATTAAACGCACTCGAATTAAATAGACGAGGAACCTTTAAATCGCCCATGTAAATTATTTAAGAGCACGAAACTACGCGAAACTGCATCTGAGCCTGGTAAATTTTTTGGTCTGTAAAACGAACCTCGGGCAGAAGTTTGTCCGGAAACATTATCCTCTGACAGGAAGGTGCATTCAAAATGTCGGTGATCCACCGTTCAGGGCATTCGTTGAGATTGAGAAAAAAATTAAAAATTAAGTCCTGCAATAGGCAGTAAATCGTTAAAAAAAAGAGTTTTCTAGGCATGAAATATCGCAAGCACCTGCCTGGTGAAGGAAAACAATTGTCAGGCAGCAGGGTAAAAAATCACGCAAAACTCCACCAGGCGCCGGCAAGCCGATTAGAGCAGGGCTCATTAAGGCAAACACTTGTCCGGTGTGAATGCCAGACAGAAATAAAAAAAAATTCAAGACGGAAACAGGTAGGAATGAAATATGTGTGAAGTAAATTTCCTTTACACATATTTCATTCCTACCTGTTTCCGTCTTGAATTTTTTTCATTACCTTAAGGTAATGATTCATAATTCACTACCCTAAGGTAGGTTTTTAAACCGTTAAAAAAAAAGATAAAATTTTTAGGCCTAAAGTAGGTATAAATGACAAATACATAGAAAAGTTCGGTGTTCAAGCCGGTAAGAAAAAATAAGAAAAATAGGACCTGAAATAGAGAGGGCTGCAATATAAGAAAATTCGGCGTTAAAACCGTAAAGTAAAGTAAGGGAAAAATTTGACACCTGAAAAAGATGAAGATGAAATATAGTTTAAATGGTATCTAAACCATTAAACAAAAACAAGGAATAAGTTAAGAGCTAATCGAAAGGAGCTGTTCTTGGTAACTGTTGGCAAGTTAAACCCCCTCACCACGGTAACAACTCATCGAGGGGGATTAAATATAAATAACAAATAAAAAATTTTGGAATTGTTTGAATTGAAACTAAAAATGGCATGATATCTACAAAACAAATTAAATGATTTTTCTACAATGGAAAAGCCATTCATAAATATTTCAATAGAAATCAAATACATGTATGAGAAATATATCACAACTGCATTTTCTTGTATGACTATAGTCTATAGAAATGATTAAATATCTATCCAGTTTAAAAAATTCTAATTTCACCATCAATGGCTTTAAAAATATTTAAATTAGAAAGTCGTGGTAATTTTGATTCAAATTATAATTGATGTATTATTCACTGACCGTTTTCTAATTGTATGACGAAATTGAATATATCATGGAATGTTCATTTACCTAAGTTCTAATATTAAATATTCCATAGAGGAAAAAACGATAGAAAAACTAAAGTCAACGGCTTTTAAAAAATCAATTTGCCGAACAAAAGGCATAAAGGATGTATATTAACCCTTTCCACTCGGATGTAGCCGTTTCGAAGATAAGGTCAACAAAAATAAAATGTTTGGCACACATACCTTTTCCAGTCTTCGTGTCAAACAATTCAGAATAAAGGAATACCAAAAGTAAATTTAGTAGGTGGAAAATAACTAGCATATCAATAGCGCCGAATTTCAGTACTCCTGTTTGAAATCAGATATACGAAAAGTGTATTAATTATATCATATAAGAATTATTAAGACAAACTCTGTTTCCATTTTTATATTTGGTTCTTCTTTGAAGTGTTACATGTAGATGGTTATAAATTTTCACATGATTCATATTAAATAGAAAATACAGCAATTTCACTGTTGGCTTCATAATCATAAAATATATATCATACAAAATGTCAATTGACAGCAATGTTTGTAAGATCCCACAGGTTTTTACATCATAATTCCACCAGCAACAAAACTATTTTGTCACATTCTTTTCCACAGATAATTTTTGCAGAAAACAATTTAGTCTTTCTCCAATGTTTATATGTAGGATAAATAATCGATTTTCACCAAGTCATTTACAATTTATCATGACTTCTTGTAATTTCATCCACATCCAATGTTTAATCACAATAAATGTGATACTTATGACATGTGCGACTTAACATTTGTTTAAAATTTAAGTTACTAATGCACCATGTCACATTTGATTGATTTTAATGCTTTTGTTTGAAAAAACAATTGGTTCTAATAAGTTGCACAATTCAACTTCATTTTACAGCACATTATCTGGTCACGATATATCAGCATCAAGCACGCTTTATGTACATACAGTAATCTTTCCTGAAGACAATCATTGCATATATGATTCTGATGTCTAATCCGAGACTTTCGATGGCCCAATTATATTAACAATTCCTGATGAAATCAATTAAAAATCCTTAAGAAACATATTTTGTCGACCTGAACTGCTTGCGGGTGAATTTTTAAAAACATTGCTAGAATCAACAATTTAACAAAAAAAAATCTGGGATACGATGTTAATATTAGACGTTAGCTAAGAATAATTTTGAGAAAACCCTAATTACAATCAAGTATTTTATAACCTTTTTAAATTCATCAGAAAAATAAATTACTTTTCAATTGATTAATAACAGTAAGTTTAAAAACTAAGTGTTAAAAAAGCAATACATCTAAAATATAATCAGCTTCCAAGTTAACAAGAATTTACTATTAGTCTTAGTATAAAATTATTTAAAAAAAAGGGCATTGGATAAGTGAATATTCTAGAAAATTATTGTGTATATGCAAACCTTTTTCTTGAGTCGGCTGTTAGAAGAATATTCTGAAAAATACATAATGTTATATATATATAGAATTCCACCTAGTACCTCAACGCAGTCTAAGTGAGTAATGGATCAATATTTCAACCCCTTTTTTGGTTTCCAAATAAACTAAATAGCACTTTCATTATGTGAAGGCTTGAAAAACTTGATTGTTCTTCTCAACAAGTTATTAATGATTATTTCTATCTCTACTTCTGCTACTGTTACGTCTATTTCTATCTCTCGATGAGCTATTTCTACGGTTATCCCTTCGTGATTGTCTTTCTTTCTCTCTTTCTCTTTCTTGTTTACGAATTTCCTCTTTGCGTCTTTCATGTTCAGCCATATGCTGTCGACGCATTTCCTCCTTCACAGCAATCTAAAAAAGCAACATTAAATAATAAATTTCGTAGGAGAAGATATGTCTAAAAAGCAACATATTAGATATTGATTTCTTTCAATTTTTGAATCAATTCATAATAAATACCTGCTCAGGAGTCAAAGGAAGCCAATATATACAAGGAGTAACTTTAGTCTTCTTAAAAAGATCATCCAACCTCTTTGCTGGTGCTTCATCCTCTTTTCTTTTAAACCTACGAACTAAAAACAAAAATTATTATTATTAGTATTATTATTATTATTATTACTATTATTATTATTATTACTATTATTATTATTATTATTATTATTATTATCTTACTATTTCTATTATTGTTATTTTGTTATATTTTATTATTTTTCTAGTATTATTTTATCATTCAGAAATTTTATTTATATTATTTATTAATTTTATTTATATTATTATTTGCTTATATTTTATATCAAATCATATTACGGATATTATTTTCATGTAAATTTTATCCTTTGCACTTATATTTATTTAAATTTATGTTATTATTTATCAATATTACTTGATGTTAATAATTTAGCAGTTGAATTAATTATTGAAATTAAAAAAAAAATTCTATGAGTATTAGTTGATTGCTATTTATCTTATAGCTAATAAAAAAAAATCTCAATTATTTTTAAAACATCCTGATAACATGTTTATAAGCATAATACTAACTCAATTCATTATTTTCTTTCTACCCAAATTTAGAAATTTCAAAATAGTTTATTACCTGGAGATCTACTCCTGCTGCGCCTCTTATCTCTATTATCAAATCTATCATCCTTCCTATCTCTTCCGACTGCTTCTTTGGGATATTCTACTGGAACATCTCTGGAAAATTTCTCTGAATTGTCAGTCGAGTCGAGATCATGCTTACCTAAATCCCATTCTCGCACTGCCTGCTTCCTATCCCTTAATGCATCCCTATCCTAAAACACAAAATAAAAATCAAGTTAAGTTACCAAAAAAATTTGTTGCAATCAGAGATACTTGTACTCTTCCAATTAATCAAATAAATCAGCTTAACCAAATAATTAACAAAATATTAGCAATCAATTGGGATATCATTAGTACATAAAAAATTGAAAAACAAAAGGAATCCTACCCTAGTTCTTTCATCTTTAAAATTCTGTTCTGTTAGCCATGCCATTGCAACTTTATCACTATCTATAGTCCTTCTTATATTATCACTTGGTGGCGGAGGAGGTAATGAACTCAAACATTTTTCCATTTCTTCACTTGTAGAAAACTCTACTTGCAATAATTTTGGATTTGATGCAGGCCACCTTGTACCATGCAATGCATGACGTGTTTCAACTGCTTGACTAAAAAAAATGATAGATTATATTTATTGTTTTCTTATTTTTCTACATATGTATTGTATAACTTGTATTGTTGAATTTTTAGTTTTTAGTGCATTTTGTTTAAAAATTGCAAGTTGTGCTGCACAGAGTTGTAAAAAATAAAATTTGTAACCAATGTTAATAATGCATTTTTATAAGTCTTCTTACTTCTCGTTGAAGAGTGGCATTTTTAAAAAATAATCACCAATATAAAAAGAAACATCAAAGAATAGAAACAAAATCGAAATTTAAAAAAATGGTAGCCGCAATAATATATAATAATTTAAGTTATGCAAAAGCTCAAATGTTTAAAGAAACATTTGATTCATAAAAATTATTAAAGATTAAGATGAAAAATGCAAGACTTTGACAATATTTATAGTGTCAAAGTCTTGCATTTTTATTTAAGACAATTACTTATATAATAAATTGCCTTTCTCTGAGTTTTTGTGTAATAGTGTGACATGTCCAAGGACTTTATTACTTTGAATTATATATTTAGCCTGTGCAGAAAAGTTTGAGTACAAAATAAAAACAACCTTTATAGGTTATTTAATATAAAAAACAATATTGAGCACTAAATGTACATATAAAAATTGTTACTTACTCTTCATTTTCATATCGAACAAAACATCTTGATTTAATATTATCAATCCAGAAACCATTTTCTATTAATTTCCCCGTCCTTGCAAGTAGTCCTTTCAATTGTAAAACTGTAAATGGCCTCACAAGATTTGTAATATACAGTATTTCACTAGGTTTCTGAGTTGAATTCTGTTTAGCTTTCTTTTCTGGAACATTCTCATTAATGGAAATTCTTCTTCTAGACCTTACTTGATTTCTGTCAGAATCAGATTTTTCATTTCTATCTGATTCAGATTTTCGTGACCTACTTCTTTTCTTATCTTCTCTTTCTCCATGTTCAGATTCTGGGAGCACAAGAAATTTATTATACATAATGTATTTTACAATATAATGCTATATAAAATTTCAAACATAAAAAATAAAGTTTTTTACCAATCTGTCAAATCATAAGACAGACCCTAGGACATCTAGGGTTAAAAAGAAAAACAAAAGCATAAAAAAGTGATTTTTCAGAAATATACAGAAAAAAATTGAAGATACTCAAAAAACCTAATAAATATTCTTCAACCTGAAAATACTTTATTATAAAACTGTAATAGTAGTAGTATTTCCATCTTCATTTAATTACCAAAATAATAAAAAATTAATCAAAATTATTTTAAAATGACTTCATACCTTTTCATGTTTTATTTGGTTATAGATCAAACAATCTTTTAATTATAATGAAACATAAAATATTACCAAGTATTTATTATTAATATCAAAGGCCAAAAACAAGTTGACTTCAGAAGCAGTTTAAAATTATAAAAAGGCTATGCAAAAACAGAAACAATATAAGAGGAAGAAATTTGCCACATGTAAAGTTGCAATGTATATTTATATTAAAACTGAACAGAAATAATAGTACTTTTAGAACTACACCAGTATCTATATAGAATTATTCTTTTTTGTATATTCTTACCTTTATCTGATGGCGGATCATCAGCTTCATAATCCATAGCTGTCATATCTAATTTATCTTCTAATAATTTTTCTCTCCTTTCTTCAGACTTGGAATTAGTTCTAGGTCTTTTTTCTACGGATTTTGAATCAGTCCTATTTTTTCTAGTTTCCTCAACCGCTATTTTTTGGTTCTTTTCTTCCAAAAGAACTTCATTAAGTGGCAAAGGTTTTACATCAGATATTAGATTTTTCAAAGAATCTGTAGAGATCGCTATCGCAGACTTCTTCTCAGATGTGGCAGAATTTTTGCTGCCCCATTTCCGTTTTCTTGTAACCTTTTCTGAATCATTTAAACTGGACGATGATTCAGTTTGTTGCATTATTTCTTTATTTTCTGAAGCACTCACTTTATTATTTGTTATTGTATTACTATGCTCAACAATTTCTCCTGGCTCTATATGTTGAGTCACATTGTTTTCCTGAACAAGCTCTGGCTTATCATCTTGAGATGTAACGTTTTCTTGAACATGTTCTGACTCTATAACCTGAGCAGTAGCATTTTCCTGAGTAGCTTGTGGTACTACATCTTCAATTATAGGTTTTTCCTCATAAATTTCAGGTTTTACTGCTCCAGGCACTAGATTTTCCTGAATGGAATCAGGATCATTACTTGTTGTTTGTGGAGAACTCTTGGATAAAGAGTTTTCAGAAAGTTTATCAACCTCAGAGTTCTAAAAATTAACAAATAAATATTTTAAAACTTATATACAAATAAATAACTTATTTAATTATATTTATGTAATTTAAAAATTAAACTATTATGACTAAGATTAATAGTGTGAAACTAACCTCTTGTATTTCTGATTTTATTTCTGTAACTTCAGGATCCTTTGAACAGCTCTCAAGTGTTTCATTTGCTTCGGTCGTTTTTGTTTCATCCTTAATTGTTTCATCATTTTTGGTACCTTCTTGGACATGTATTGCCTCTTCGACTTTAATTACTGGTTTATCTTCAACAGTCTGTGGTTCTTCAGAAGCTTCATCTTTTAGTTCTGTCTTAAGTTCTACAGTTACTTCTTCATTTTTAACCTCATCTTTATTAGAAATATCATTATTATCACCTTCTTTATTATTAGAAATTTCCTCTACTTTAATATTTTCTGTGACTTCATCTTTTACAACTGCAGATTCTTTTGGTTCAGAATTATTAGCATCGGGATCAACTGTTTGATCAGCTTGTTTTTCAACTTTATTATCACTACATTCATCTTTAGAATGAGAATGTTTTTTCGAACGCTTTTTTCTTATATCTTCACTGGAATCTGCTGATTCCTGACTTGATCCATGATGCTTCCTAGGACTTCGTTCACTAGAGGACGGTCTTTGTAAGCATATCTTTAGTTTTTGAATCTCACCTAAAATATTAAAAAATATAAATCAAATAATTCTTTTTAGGACTTTATCAAAATTATAAATTCTCAAAAACCTATTGTAGAGACATGAAAATGACCTAAACAAGGTTCAGAGTCCATTGCCTAAAATATAAATCTAATTGAATTTAGCAACTTAATACTGACTCTCAATTGTTTGGCAGAAAAAATTATTTACATTAATTTAGTCACATTCATATGGCAACCCTAATAATTAGAAAAATAATTTTCAACTAAACTTTATAAGTTATAAAAAAAATATAATTCCTAGCCAATACATGAGTTAAGTATTATTAAAAATATAGTGAGACAACTTGAAAAAGAGCTATATAAAATATAGGCTTTATTTCCTATAAATCTACTTTAAAACGGATTTTCATTTGTTGAAAAAAAAATATCTTGAGGCATAGAATTAATCAAATCAGTTGTGGCAACCTAATAAAATTATTTAATTGTTTCTTATCCCAGTTTCTAATCAAAATTAATTGTCAAAATACTTCATATTGAAAGTACATTTTTATGTATGATATTTAACACATATTAATAACAATACTCTTGAAAATAATATAGTGAATTGATAGTAAAAGTAGTTTTAAAATTTGACCAGATAAGAAGGATGAACTACAGAAGAATGTAATTTTGCTTATTAGGATTTACTGTAACATGATGCCTTGAATCAATATATAAATATACTCAAAATATCAATCATTTTCTCACATCTTACATTTTCAAGTGGAGAATTTCTTCATGGAGAAATTTTATTCATGCAGAGTTATTAACAAATTTACTTTATTTCAACCTAGTACTTAAATATTGTCAATCGACAAGAAAAAAACTTGAAACTCTCAACAAAAAGTTTCAAAATTGTGTTTGCTTCATAAGTTGAGAAACATATATGTAAAGGTAAGATTTGACTATCAATTTTCACTTCTCGAGCAAAGATTAAAAGTCTTATTAAGCAGCAGTATGAATAAAATTGTGAACATGTAGATCGCCAGACTTTTCAAGCCTTCTTATATTTTCAAAAAGAGTAACAATGAAGGTCAATACAACACATGTATTGAACTACAAAAGATTCGTGAATATGATATGGTCAATGATTTTAGAAATCAGACTAGAACGTGTTACTCACCAGAATCCGCGGGAGCATCAGCGGATTTTACTTGCCAAACTGATTGCCCCTTAGATTCCCGTCTGAATTACTGACAGAATCTTTACTGTCGGTAGAAGGATTCTTCGACACTACTTCTGGCTGCGTCTTAACATTTTGCAGTGTCTCATTATCACTTCCATGTTCTTCGTCGGTTTCAGGAGAGCCTCTCCTACGTCTAGTTCTGCGGCTAGATTTTTCGGGTTTTTTCTCGGGAGACCGCGCCTTATTTCGTTCACTTTTACGCCGCATTTTAAAAGGTTAACTCACAATCAATATAATAAAAACGTTCACATAAATGTCAAAATTTACTTATAACAGAAAGTCATTAACACGCTATTACATGTAAATAGTGATCTGTTTTTTAAAAAAACTTATAAAATAGTAATTTATAGGAGTATTGAATAAACAGTTATCAAATTCTTATTCAATTATTTCTTGTTTAAAAAGCACGCTATGTACATGTTATATTCCGCTCGGCTTGTTAAAAACAAAATGGACGATTGCAGTGGTGCCAAAGTAAGAAAGTACGGTAGAATTTGCGCGCGTATTTCAACATGTATTTGATTGTAAATTATGAAATTAAGGACACGTTTAATTTGATAATAATGATAGGCAAAATATTTAGTAACGTTATTGTTCTGGAAACCTATAATAAATATAGAATATTATAGTGAATATATACTTTTATTAATATTTTACTTACACTTAAAATTCACAATAAGCAATTATAATTTCTTTTTACCCGAAAACTCAACTTATTTCAATTAGACGAAGTACTTATTGCACTTCAAATCCCACCTTTGTAAAACTATATAACACATTAATATTTTTCAAAAGCATATTTATTTTTTGATGATTATAATATTTAAATATGTATTATTTTCTATAAATTATATTTATTGGTTCTAAATATGAGGTAATATAGAAATATAAAGTTAAAATGTAAAGAAGGTCAACATAACATCCTTGTCCAAGGCTCTGACTATCAATATCAATGAAACTAAATTGTAGATATATTTATATAAATATAACTAAATGGTAGTCTTCATTTCAACAAAGAATTTTTGGATTTTTTAAATTTGATATTATATATATATATATATATATATATATTATATATATATATATATATATATGTGTGTGTGTGTGTTCAGAGTAAAAAGCTATTTTCATATATCATATAAGTTATATTTCGTATACATTTTGTGGTTTGTGGTCCATATTTTAATTTGCTACTTAACATATTCTATGATTATGGATTTATTCAAAATTAATTTATCCAAACAGCTTATAAAATTGTATTTATCTTTTATCCATTCAACAATAAAATGTTAACAAAAAAATACACATAGAAATCTTTTCAGACATGGCCATTTAAACATTTTTTTATTAAGGTCATCAAAAATATATCAGGCATGGCTATTTATACATTTTTTTATTAGAGTCATCAAAAAAATAGTATGATTTCTATGTTATTATTCAAAATCTATACATTAATAAGGATGTTAGAAGTTTGTTCGGTTAATTTTCAGGCAGAGGTTGCTATTGTAGTAATAGAACAATTTTAATCATCTAAATTTGATTAATCTATTACATTTAATCATTCAATAGTAAATTTCCTTTTGGAATTTCGAATGGTTGTCCATTACGGTAAACAAAGTCTCCTCGTACAACAGTTGCATGAACTTTGCCCTTCAACGTCATTCCTAAGTATGGTGTTTCTTTATTCTTGTGTTGGATTATGTCTTTAGTGACCTTAAATTCTTCCTCAGGATCCCAAATTACTAAATCAGCATCCAAGCCTTCTTTGATTTGTCCTTTTATGCCATCCAGTCCAGTTAATTTCGCAGGTCCCGCAGATAATAAACGAGATACATCATGAGCTTTAAAGCCTCTTTTAGAAGCACCGGTCCATAATAAAGATAATCCAAACTGCATACCAGCAATTCCACCCCAAGCTTTTAGGAAATCAGGATGACAACCATTGCACAGGCCTTTCAGTGCAGCAGGTGATGGAGAATGATCACTGACTACCATATCAATATCTCTGTTTTCCAAAGCTTGCCATAATTTTTCTTGATTACTTTCTTCTCTAATTGGTGGAGCGCATTTGTATTCAGTATGTCCATCTGGAACATCTTCAGCAGCAAAGGTTAAGTAATGATGACAAGTTTCAATCGAAAGTGGAACGTTCTCTGAGCGCGCTTTTTTCAATTGCGGTAAAGCACCTGCTGCTGATAGATGCACTATGTGAGACCTAACTTTATATTTTTTTGTGAGGTCTATAATCATATCAATAGCATTTACTTCCATACTTGGAGGTCGTGTTTTCAGGTAAGTCATGTACTTTTCAGTTTCATTGCTTGTAACATTTTCTTGAGGAGCGGGTAATTCGGCATGGTACAGAAGTACGGAATTTGCTTTCTGGAGCTCTTTTAGAGCCATTTCCAGATCATTTTTAGTAACCTGTGGAAACTCATCGACACCACTTTCACTTGTAAAACATTTGAATCCTCTTACTCCGGCGTTGATAAGTGGCAACAATTCGTGCGCATTGCCAGGAATCACGCCTCCCCAGAAAGCGACATCAACATGCGTTTTACCACAGGCTGAATTCACTTTTGTTCTCAAATTCTCTACAGTAGTTGTAGGTGGGATGGAATTCAAAGGCATGTCTACTATTGTGGTAATCCCGCCCCAAGCTGCTGCTTTAGTAGCTGTGGTGTATCCTTCCCAGGATTCTCTTCCTGGTTCGTTGACGTGCACATGAGAGTCTATCACACCTGGCCATATTGAAAATTGACCGTAGTCCAACACCTCAACTTTAGTTTCGTTAGCTATCCTTTCCACTTCTTCTCCTAAAATTATAAAGGTCAATTAAAAATCGGTTTCACTATTTTCAATTAGTAAGATTGGCCATCGCATAAAATTTAAAACTTTCATTTTCGGCTCTATATTTGATTTGTTTCATTTTCATATATTTATAACATATTTTAGATAAAATATATGAGCTCTGCAAGCAGCCTCTTACAAAATAAAATCAATTTGTTACTCACCTGAAATTACACTTTTTATTCTTCCGGAGGAATCAACCACAATGCCTGCATCTCTTTCAGTACCATCACTGAGAAGAACTCTTCGGCTACGGAATATCTTCATTGGAGGCGCGTTGTTGGTGCACGCAGCATTACTTTTGGATTTAGAAATAAATTAATTTTGGATTAAGAAAAAAAAATTAAACATAAATATAACGATCTCTCTACAAACCCATATAAGTTTTCATTTTGATTCTTTTAGCCTTTAACTTTATTTTATATGAAAAACTCATATTTCTTCCTTTGCATCGGAGGCTTTACATTTAGATAAAAGAAAACAGATTATTTGACTTATTTAAAGAAATAATTATAATTCAGAAAAAGAATATTTATTACTTTTATTATATTAGTTATTATGATTGGTTTTACCGAGCCAAACTGATAATAACATGCATGTATATGCTTATATAGTCGCACAGTTTTTTAACATTATCTATTATTTAGTCGTTAAATTTTAATAACATTTATTTATTTATATAATTTAGCGCTGCAATCTCTAATACAAAATTACGTGATATCACCGCACATTTTATTTGAATATTATTATGTCAACTTTATAAGTTGGAAATACCACAAAAACTTTAAGTACACATTTATGGATTTTCCGGGGCATGTTTACTATTCCGGGGAAACATTTAGTATCAATACATATCAGTGTTTATATAAATATAAGTGATAACTATCAGGTGTAGTAAAACTTGAAATAGGATATCATTTAAACAAAATAATTAGAATTGGGCAGAATGTCGTCTTCTACGTTGTTGCTATTTTTTTAATATTTGAGTACTATTTCGCTAACTTCGATAACAAACTTATTTGGACCTATGGTAATCGTGTAAGAGGCACAGTATAATGTGATCAGGCAAAATAATGCAAATCCCAAATTAAATTTTATTGGAGGACTAGCAAATTGGAAGATCCAATATATTCTAACCTGACTACTTTACAAAGTTTGAAAATAGATTCAATTGGAAGAAAAAAAAAGTATGAGAATATGGTTAACAGCATAGCTAGAAAATTATTACATTAATTTCAAATTAAACAAATAAGATTTATAGAAAAATAAAGTTCGGTTAATTAACAATCATCAATTTTGTTTTTTCAAAATGAGAAAGAAACTTGAGACACCATGGTAAACCAATGCAATAATGATTTCACCATTAGTAGTATTTAATTAATTAAATTAATTATCATTAAACCACTGTGACTTTTTGTAATCTATTACTTTATTTATTCTGTAGAAATCAGCTTAAAAATGTTGCTTTTTTATACTAAATGAGCAAAAGAACGTAAAACACAATCGCACGACACTGGAAGAAAATTTTTACTAAATATGCGCTAATAAAGAATTTATTCAATTAAATTAATTATTAAAAAATGGGTTTGAAATAAACTGTAGTACTATTTTTTCAATTTTTACTTTTTATCTTTAGTTCTTTAATTTTGGAATATTAATAATAAATTTCACTGTGCAAACTCTATTGAATAATTAACTTCCCATAGGGCAAATTATAGCAATCGCAAAAAAATCGATAATGAAAATTTTTATATATTTTTACGTTTCAAAACCATCTGAACAATTTGGCATACCTTAGAAAAATTGGATGTATGTGTGTATGTATGTGTATGTGCGTGTAAGTGTGTGTGTGCGTATACAAATTTTCGTCGACGATTTCGGGAACACGGATGAAGCAATTTGAATATTTCAAAAAACATTCGATTCGTATTGATAAGGAGACGTGCTGATTAGTTTTGGCGAAGGCAGGTCTGGCCGTTCCGAAGATACGGGGCAAAAAATGCCAAAAACGGTAACTCAGTTTTTTAGAGAACGGAGCGTCCGATTTTAATAATTCATTCAACATTTTACTTGTATTGATAAGATAAAGAATTGATCAAATTTTCATGAAGGCAGGTTTAGCGGTTTCGGAAATCTAATGAAAAAAGTAAAAAATGCCATTTGGCGGTCAAAAATGATCATTAAACATATGCACATCAGATTATCGGATATTTGTAGAGATTTTAACAATAAGTATAAATTTTGTTTACATTGTTATGGTTCCGTACCAATGTTCATCCGTTAGCCGCCGACGCGGCGCTTACGCGCTTTGTCATATCGTCTCTATGCAGTTAAAGCAGTACGATTGCTTTGAAAAAAGTTCAGAATTTTCAAAATATGTCAAAATGAAGAAAACATTTTTTTTTGTCAAAATAGTAACTTTTTGTCAAATTTATAGTTTCTCAAAAATCTAATTTTTTCGAAGTAATTTTTTTTCAAAAATGTTAATCGTTTTAAAAAAATAATAATGTTTGGTACGGGAAGTTCCAGCAATTTGCCTTAAAGCACGATGCCATGCGCCCCACTAGTTTATTTAATTAAATGGAGTAGCATAGGAAACACTTAGCCTACTATTTTGCCTGCTTCCAGAATCTGATCAAAAGTTGTAGCTATTTTGCACTAAATGAGCAAGAAACGCAAAAACGCCCTCGTACTGTCTGTTGGATGCTCTAAACATAGTACTTTATATCAAAGTTTATTCATTAAATTAATTATCTTAGACAATGTTTGACTACCAAAGGTTTTACTAGTAATAATCGCCTATCCCCAGAAAATAAGCCAAACAACGCCATCGCACGACACTGGAATAATAATTTCGCCAAGTGTTCTCTATTAAATAATTGATTTAATTAAATCAATTACCATCAAACGTGTTTGACTCTCCTTGTCTATGTCTAGTATTTCACCTGCCCGCAGACTTCAGGTTAGAAGTCGCTGCCGATCCCTACCTATGCTAATGGCTCTCAAGAAGCGCGAGTCGAATCCCGACCAACACTCACTTTAGTGCGGTTGTTGAGTGACATGTTAACACATCAAGTGAAATTTTTTAAACATGTGTTTTTTGTGATTACAATTAATATTATTTGTGAATTATCCATAGTTTTATTACAGAAGACACGACATCGTGAAATAACAAATTTAGTGTAAGTATTAATACATTAGACTCTATATTTATTGATGATTCATTCATTCAATGTTTATGTTGTTAAGATTGACGATACCGTTTGAATTTGGATTGTAGAAAGTACAGTGTATGTATATTTTGGAGAGAAAACGGTTCTTGGTTAATTTTAAACGATTTGTAGAGATTGTGTCTGATGTGCAGTTAATAGGAGTCTTTGAGTTAATTGCTTTTATTCTAATGAAAATGTAAACAAACTTTATCTTAAAGAATAGCAGTATTTTGCTTTTATTTAGCATATAGTAGAAAATCTATAATTCAAGATATAAAAATCTTCAAAGCCTCGCAAATAAATAAATAAAAATACTTAATTATTTACTTTCAATATATTATATATATATATATATATTATTGAAAAAGCGATTGAATTTCAAATGCAAGTGAAAGATCATTCAGGTGTATCAAGATTGATATATCATATGAAA